CTAACCCTCCCCCGTCTTCCAGGTCTCCAACGAGGAAGGCTCAGGGAGGTGGGCCCCAGGCATGGGACCCAAGAATCACGACCACGAGGGGCGAGAAAGCAGGGTTTCCAGGGGCTGAGACAAACGCACACCCGAACACAAGATACAGGGAGTAGAAGCCCGAGGGCTCGTAAATCACAGAGGGTCGTAACACACGTGCTCTGGATCCCGCGGGGGCTTTAACACAGGAGGGCAGAGGCCCAGGTTTAAAGAGCAGGCCACGTGCAGAGCCCTGCAACCGCCCCTTGTGGCCCCGAGTCCCCAGGTCCCCACGCACCGCATGAAGCCCGTGTCCGTGGTAATTGTGTCGCCCGGCACCACCAGGTGTTTCTTGGTATCGCGGCCCAGACTCTCGCTAAGTGGCTTACGAGCCACAGGAAGCCTCATCTCCATCGCCATCTTGGCGCCAATGACTTGCGCAGGCGCAGCAGCCCCGCCGTGGGCCGCGAAATCAGGATCCGCAATTCCCGGCCTTCCCTCGCAGGCCCGGGGCGGGGCCTCAGGGAAGCAGCCAATGGGATCTCATGGTCTGGCGGCCATGATTACTATTGGCAACAATTAAGTTAACCTCACGGGAAGGAGGGAGCAGAAGTGCCATTTTTACTACGGGGATGTCTGGCAACTGTGGAATAAAATCTCATGTTGCATGATGCTAAACTTTTAATCAAAACTGCCTCGTACTCATCATTCCATTTATTGTTTACCAGGGTTAGAAAGAATTGAGAACGGACCTCTGAGTTTCCTTCCAGCTCGTTTTAAGCGGCTAAACTGATGTTTTTGTATGAACGAGCTCAGGAGGGTCCGGAGGTAAGAGCTGCAGAAAACACGAATTGGACCCACAGAAGAGCCCCCTTTCTTGCTGCTCCTAATGCCGACAGTATTCTGCATTACAGGCGCCCCGCGGGTGCTGGTTCAGCACCAACCATTTATACCCCCAAACAATGCTCCGGATGCTGCTTCGGTTCTTTCCTAATAGTCTTTTCAGTGAGCTGATTTGCTCTAACATTTCTTTTGTAAAAATAAGAAACTGTCTAAGAACACCTCCAAACGTCGCGAGGTGATATGTTTGGTAGGGAAGATAAGGGCACACCAAACACGAAGACCTCCGCTTGTATTTTGCTCATACACAAATAGACCGTTCTTTGTGGGCCAGGAGCTGTCGCCAGAATTCGGTGGTGAACAGATAGATGTATGTGTGGCTGTATCTTCACGTCCTGTTCGACAGGAGCATTTCCTTCGTCCCTTCTCCCTAGCCCCACCACCCTTCCCCTCACCCTTGGCCTGAATGGTTTTATAGCATTTGCACGGAACCCCAGGGAATCGAAGATGATAATGCTTCATGCACGTGGACCTTAGGTGAAATAAGTCGCCTCATCCCACATACTGTGTTCACAAAATCAGGCCTGCTGCCTCTCGAAGACCCATCATACTAATTGTTTGATAAACCTCCCAAAAGACAGCCAGCTTTTCACCCAAGCCAAGCTCCTGACGACGAGAAAAGTGTGAGAGGAGTCCACTGTTGAGTCCAGCCTTGGCCATTAGAGGGCAGTAGTGTTCTTTGAGCCAGCTACAGAGCTAGGCGTGGGACTTCTTGGTGGAAAGAGAGGTATATAGTCTTCGCATCATCCAATTTCATCCGGGGAGGGATGGACAAATCCTTAACCCCTCCCATTCCCACAGTACTTACATTTACAGAGCCTGTCAAAATGGGGTTATGGCTACTGTTTAGTCTGTTCAGGCTGCTATAACAAAATACCATGGATTGAATGTTTTATAAGCAACAGAAATTTATTTCTCACGGTTTTGGAGGCTGGGAAGTCCAAGATCAAGGCACCAGCAGATTTAGTGTCTGGTGAGGGTTCACTTCCTGGTTCATAGATGCCTGTCTTTTCACTATGTCCTCCTCCCTTGGCCTAAGGGGCGAGGGAAAGCTCTGGGGTCTCTCTTATGAGGACGCTAAATTCCTGAGGGCTCCACCCTCACGACCTAATCAACTCCCAAGGGCCCCACCTCTCAATCTCATCCCTTTGGGGGATAAGATTTCAACATATGAATTAGGAGGGGAGGGGGACAGAAACATTCAGTCCATTGCAGATACCTATTTTTAAAAAAAAAATACTGATTGCTTTGAGAGAGAGAGAAACATCAATGTGAGAAACATCAACTGGCTGCCTTCTCATATGCACCTCGACTGAGAATCAAACCCTCAACCTGGGTGTGTGCCCTGACCCAGAATCAAACCTGCAACCTTTCGGTCCACGGGATGACCCTGCAACCCACTGAGCCGCGCCAGCGGGGGCAGTAAACACCTTTTTATAGTGGTGGAAATCAGGGCCCCAAAAGGACTCGAATTCCCATAGTAGCTGGTGGCCGGGTCCATGTTTCTGCCGACTGCACCTGCTTCGCCCCAGAGCTGCGCCCTTACCGACAGGTCTGGAGGGCCTGGTCCTTTGCTGAGTGCTGTACAAACGTCATGTGACTTAGTCCTCACACTTAGCCCATCTTGAAGGTGGGCATTGCTGCCCCTGATCGTCGGTCATTTCGGGTCACTGAGTCCCAACAACAGACCTGCAGCGGGGATTAGGACCCACGACTCCAGACTCCCCATCAGTGCGGTCCTCTCTTCACACCACAGAGACACAGTGCACGTCCCAGAGGGCCTTGTCAGAAACGGAGACTCCTAAGCTCAGACTTAGGTGTTGGGGTCCTCTTCCCCATCTGTGCATCTCCAGGGCCACCACCCCAAGACCCCAAGCCGGTCATCCTCATCTCTGACCTGGGCGTCACTTCCTAGCTCCTCCCCCTAATTCTGAGTTTGCTCCGCCTACCATCCAATCTCCATACAGCAGCCAGAGGGAGCTTTTAGAAACAGACCAATTTCAACCACTTCCAGGCTTCTGGTGCCTTCCCTTTACACAAAGAATAAAATCTAAACTCATCATTTTGGGCCCTGCCTGGATCTGACCTCACTCGCCGCCTGACCTGCTCCCCTGCTCGCTGTACTGCAGCCAGAAGCACCGCTCACCTCTCAGTGCCCTGTACACCAATCTCGTCTCAGCCCCAGGCCCTGTGCATTTTTGGCCGTCTCTGCACGGAATTCCCTCCCCCCAGGTCCTTGTGCAGCCGCTTCTCCTCACTCAGATCTCAGCTCAAAAGTCACTTCCTCTGCCCTGGCTGGTGTGGATTGGATTGAATATCGGCCTGCACACCAAAAGGTGGTTGGTTCGATTCCAGTAGGGGCACCAGTCTGGGTTGTGGGCCAGGTCCCCAGTTGGGGGTGTGCACAAGAGGCAACCAACTGATGTTTCACTCCCTCTTTTTCTCCTTCCCCTCCCCTCTCTCTGTGAGAAAATCACTTCCTCCAAGAAGCCTTCCGTGACTGCCTTATCTGGAATAACTCTCAGTGTGACACTTCAAGCCACTGTCCAGCTGCCCTCATCACCCCCAGGCCAGGTACTAGAGGGTGCGGAGCCCGCTGGAAGTATTCAAACTAGTCAATCCTAAACCTGCTCACCCTGCCTCACCCGGTCTTCCCATGAAAGCTGTAGTAAAAGCTTCCCCCCCACCCCCACATTTGCTCCTTGCTTCCTCTGCCTCCCTGTGTGGCCCTGCGTGGTGTGCCATGCTACTAGAGTCTAGGGAGTTGTGAGTATAGCGAATTCTTCACACCCACGGTCCCCGTCTGCTCACCCTCCTGTCTCCTGCAGGGAAGGACCTCGGCAGCCTTACCAGATGCATTTTAGTCTGCAATTACAACCTGCCGCCACCAGGTGGGTTCTAGGGACTGGACTGTGGCTCCTGGTGATCTGTGGCTGGGACATCATAAAATTATACGTGGAAATCTATTTAGATTTTTATCACAGGCTCCCGACTGCAGACCGTTCTTTAGGAGTCCAGCATTACTGTCTGAGAAGCAGGGCATCGGAGCCAGAAGGGTGTTTAGTCCTACATCACCCGTCTGCACCCAGAGGGAATGGGTTTCGGGACAGATAGCTTTGGTCAGAGGCCCAGGTGGGGGCTGTAATGAGAGGAGGGTGATGCCAGGGGCCACCAGAGGCAGCAGAAACCTAGTGGGAGGTGCCAGAGGAATGGAAAGCCTTGTGATGGGAGGAGGGGGAGGGGCTACCAAGGGTGACATCGAACACGGGCCCTGCCCAGGGAAGGAGATCCCAGATGGGATATGCAAATGAACACATGAGATGTCCATCTCCGCCCGTGCCCCCACCTGCCAGCGTGCAATCCCCCAGAGTATAGGGATCTTTGGGAATACGCACCTGAATCTCCAAACGGGGATGGCCGGCGCGTGTGAGTGTGCATTCTAGTGTCTACACGTGTGTGCACAGGTGCGCGTGGCTAGATGAGGATGCACAGAGAGGTGTGCCTGAGGCGGCCAGTAGCCTGGATGGGTGACACCCTCCCCGCTGGCTTGTTCTGGAGCTCAAGTGTGAACTCACACTCTCCAGTGTCACGCAGCCTCCTGGAGGGAGGAGCCACGGCCGGACCCTGCAGGGACGGGCCCTGTGCCCTCTGGTCCTCCTCAAGGGGTGTCGGGAACGGGTGCCCAAAGCACTGGGAATTCTAGGCATTGGGAGGGTACTTGGTGGCCATCTCCATCCACCTCCTCCCCTGGCTGCTTGGATTCCTTCGAGTTGTCCATGAAAATGGGGGCGGGGAGGAAACATTTTGGGGAAGTGAAAACGTGGGGCACTCATCCTTGAGAGTCAGCTGGAAAGCATGGGTCAGCCCATTCCCTTCTGAGATTCTGGTTGCTTTGCACGGTGGCCAGCTCTCCGGGAGCTGACACTCCAGTTGTGACAGAAAGAATTTTCCGTATACAGGGCACAACAGGTACACGGGACAATTCCTCCCACGCCCTGTCCAGCCTCCAGGCACCTTCCGTATTTCCTTTTCATGCAGACAGAAGAGTCGGCCCATTCAGATGCTAAGTGATAAATGCTCAAGTGATTTTTATTTTAGAATACAAGAGAGGTACAAATGTATTTACAGTTATACATATACAATCAAGTAATATATATCACAGTTTTGTAAATATCATTTTAGATAAATATTTACAAAGTTAAAGTGACCATTTTCTGGAAGTAGAACACAGCTTCTTGAAAACTCTATACATTTTATACTTTTCATTAATATTATTATTATAGTTTCTTTATCTTACAAAACGTCCTACGGAAATACTGGTAAATGACTGCAAGGCGGGAGAGGTGACACCAGAGGGCGCTAGGGCCGAGTTTGGGGAAAACGGGAAAGAGCGAGGGCGGGCGTGGGCGGGCTGGGCTAGGAAGAGCTTCCCCGGCAGACAATCCAGTCCCGCGCTCCGCTAGCTGCAGTGTGGCGAGGACTGGCCGGGAAACCTCCCCTTCCCAAGCCCGAGGTCAGAGCTGAAGGGGAGGGGGCCTCGGTCCAACGCTCTCATTGTATAGACGGGGCAAAGGAGAAACTGAGGCCCAAAGAGGGACAGGTCCTTGCCCGGGGTCCCACAGCGGGTGTCTGTTTTGCCGGCACTCTCAGCTCTGCAAAGTCCGTGCCCCAGCCACGCCCTGGGAGCCCGGCTGGGTCGGGGGAAGGAAGGTGGCCGGAAGGAGACACCGCCCCCTACCCCCAGGGCAGTGCAGGTCTCCAGGGGCTTTTCGGACTGCCTCCGAGTCCCGTCGGCCCCCAGCTCTCAAAGTCACGTCCGTACTCTGGACCCTGCAGGTGACGAGTTGCAAGAGGAAGGATGAGGGGACAGAGGGGCGGGCGCACGCCAGGCGACTCTGGGACAGGAAGGTCGCTCTCTCTCCATTCCCAACACACAGCTCTCCGTGGGGGAGTCGGCGATCCCTTCCCCCTCTCAGGGCCCCCGGAGACTTTCATTCCCTTGTCCTGCCATCCACGAGGGGGGATGCCAGTCTGGGCGGCCGGCTCAACAGGACAAGGTGAAGCCGGGCATGGGGACCACCCACCCCAAAAGGAGGCAGCGGAGCAGCTGCAACAAGTTGGGTGGCCCCAGGAAAGGAACGTCGTCCTCCAGTGTCCAGTGTCCTCATCTGAAAAACGGGGTGAAAAATGTATGCCTGGGGGGTCACTCTTGGAGCGCACCGCCACTGCCGGAGGTCCGGTCGGAAGAGAGCAGCAGCAGGGGGCCCGGGCGCCGCAGGCGGGAAGGCGCGAGCGCGGCGCTCACAGCACCATCGCCGGCAGGTGGTGCGCGGCGGCGGCCGCGGCGGCGAGCGCAGGCGCGTGCGCGTGGGGCGCGGGCAGCGCGGGCGAGTGCGCCTGCAGCGCGGCGCTGGGCGGCCGGTGGCGCGCGCTCTTCTGGTGGGCGCGCAGGCCGGCCAGCTGCGAGTAGGCGCTCTGGCACACCTGGCACTTGTAGGGGCGCTCGCCCGTGTGCAGGCGCACGTGGTTACGCAGTGTGGACGACTGGCTGAAGCGGCGGTTGCAAAAGCGGCACACGAAGGGCTTGTCCAGCGTGTGGATGCGCATGTGCGAGCGCAGGTTGCTGCGAGAGTTGAAGCCGCGGTGGCAGATGACGCAGCGCATGCGACCCGCGGTGCCCGCAGCCGAGTCCGCGGGATGGAAATCCTCTGGCCGCGAGGCCCGGGCCGGGAAGGAAGGGGAGAGGAGCCAAGAGGCAGGCGGGGGTGGGGCAGAGAGAGCAGCCTCGTTAGAACTGCGCCCCCGAAGTCCGGCACGCCTGCCCCACGCCCCTCGCACACCACGCTCCCCTCGCGCGCGCTCTTCTCGGGGATCCTGGGATCCGCCGATCTGCCCACCTCTAATCCACTGGTGGTTGCAGGGCAACTGATGGGGAGCGCTGGCAAGGGAATGGGAGGAGCAGCAAGAGCCCAGAGGTCAGACCAGAGCTGACTCCAAACGCTGTGAAACCGGAGGCTTAGTGGCTGGGCCTCACCAAACCTCAACTTTCTCACCTGCAAAATGGGAGCCTACGACCACCTCACGGGGCGCTGCAGGACTGTGGGAGACTATCACTAAAAACTGCCGGGCGCTTACCTGCCTTAGTCCGCCCGCACATGGAAAGTGCCTGCCTCACGGGAGCCCTCCCTACGTGGAAGTAACTATTATACCCCCTGCACACCCTCAAAAGAATTCCTTTCATTGATTCACCCCACAAACATTTCCTGAGTGCCTTCTATGTGCGAGAGAACCGCGCCTCCCTTCCTCGTCCCTGAAATGGAGGCAACAGCGGCATCACCCCCACGACCCTGCAGTGAGGACTGGACTGGAGAAGTTGCCATGTGTGAACATTAGCTGCAGAGTACAGACTGGGTCAACATAACTTGTGAGCCTCAGAAACATCCTCTAAAAACAAGGATAATCAAATTTCACAAGGATTTTCTGAGGACCCCAGTGGGATAATACCTGTAACACGTTTAGCACAAAACAGGTCTTGAGCAAAAGGTCTCTGTCATGATGGCCAGCGTCCCTGCCCCCCACGCACCTGGAGGTGCACTCGGCCCCGCCTTCACCCAACAGGTTGGCCCCAGGGCCTGGTCTGTGCCAGCTGGGTACCGGCGACAGAGCAGGGAAGGGTACAGGGTGCCCGAGCTTGAAGGGAGCTCAGAGAGCGCCCCGCCCAGCTTCCTTTCTGTAAAGATGGGGGAACTGCCCTGGCTGGTGGGGCTCAGTGGACGGAGCGCAGCCTGCGAACCGAGAGGTCGCCAGTTCAGTCCCTAGTCAGGGCACATGCCTAGAGAGTTGCCGGCCACGTTCCCAGTTGAGGGTGTGGGAGAGGCAACCGATCCATGTGTCTCTCCCTCACTGTCTTCCCCCCTTCTCCTCTCTCTAAAAATAAATAAATGCTTTTTTAAAAAGTTGGGGAAACTGAGTCACAGAGCCGTTCCCAAGACTGCACGGCAGAAGTGGGACTCCATCCAGGCTCCCACAGCCCCTCCTGCCAACCCCGCTGCCTGTTCCTGACACAACACGCTGTGGCTCCGGAGGCGCCGGCCTCCTCGGACCAGTCGGTCCCGTGTGCTCAGCGATGCTGGAGGGTGAGCCAGGGTCCCCGGAAGCCAGGAGCCTCCCCACCACACGGCACACACGCACACGCACACACACACACACTGGGTTCCCAGGGTCCTTTGTCCCCTGGCCTCATGGAGCACACCTACCATGCTTGTTCTTTTTCTGGTCCTCCTCCAGCCCGGGCACGCCGGGGATGCCCAGGAAGGTGTTGTGCGAGTTCCCGTACCACACCAGCAGCTCCTGGTCCGGGGGGATCATCTGCGGGGAAGGAGGCAGGCGGAGGTCAGGGAGGTCGCAGCCGGTGTGAGGGGCGGGGGGCAGAGCTCTGGGCACAGCCCCTCAGCGCCAGGAGGCAGCTGTCCGGGCGCCTGCCCTGGAGCTGCACGCCGTCCCCAGCAAGCTGCACGAACACAGGACAGCCTGCAGTGCCGCGCCCCCTCTCCCCGCCCAGGCTTCTTGTCGTCCGAAGGAACAGAGCGGCCTCCCAGCCACGCACGTGCTCCCACGCTGACGGCAACAGACCGGAAGGAAGCCTGGCAGCAGGCAGACGTCACGGGCCAAAAGCTAGAAAACGTTTCATTTCTTACGGAGGGGAAGCAGCGCCAGCCAGCCCTCGGGTCTGCAGGGCTGAGCTGGGTGTTCCCGAGGAGCGTGGGCTGGGGGAGCACCTACGGTGCTCGGCTGCACCCTGCCCGACAGCGTTCTGGAGACAGCTCTCACCCACCAGGCAGCACCGCGTCACGGGCCTCTCTGCCCGTCGCGGGGCTCTGCAAGGACGCCTCCTGAGGCAACGCCGGGCCACTCAGCCTCAAACAACACTGGCCTTAAATAAAACCCATCATGCCATTGTCCCGGGTCTATGGCACAGAACCCCACAGATGGTGACAGGGCTCTGCTGCTCCCGGGGAAGGACGTGCCCCCGGGAAAACGGCCATCGGGCGGGAGGGTCTGCAGGGACGGTCCAGGGAGGCCTGCTCCCGGGTGGGGCCGGCCGTGAGCGCCCCACGCCGGGGCATCTCGAGGGGCTCCCAGCCAGCTGGGACAAATGAGAGTGGGGGTGGCCCACCGCCCTCCTGACGCCTGGGCCCCAGAAGAGCCAGCTCTGGCACCCACCCCAGGGGTCACTCTGATCCACCCAGAGAAAGGTGGACACCCCCAGGCACAGCTGGCTTGTGTTCCTGGTGGGCCCTCTCTCAGCGATGCTCTCCATTTCGGGGGGCATTCCATTTCGGGGTGTCTGACCTCACAGCTGCGCAGGACCCTCCCTCGGCCTCTGTGGTCACAGCGAAGGCCCCAGGCCCCCACCCCTTCCATGTGGTTCCAGCCCACAGACCCCCAGCACACTGGGGACCTGCTGCTGGGGTGCCTTCCTCCCTCTGGTCAGGGCCAGGAAGACCCTGGGACGGCCACCCCCACTCCCTGGAAGCGGAGGGGCGCAGAGAGAGGCGGGTGGGAGAAGGGACGTGCAGGGAGCCCAGGCGACTGAATCCCCCTAAGACTCAGCCAGGGGTCCCCATGCCCCTTCTCAGCAGGCCACACGGCCCACAGCGCCTCACGTCAAGCCTCAGGGTAAGCGGGTGACGGGAAGCCAGGCAGACGGTGAAACCCTGGTTCCAGCTCCAGGGTTTCAAAACGGAAGCACCAAGTGCAGCCTGAAACGGAGGGAAGTGAGGCGGGGCCCCAGAGAAAGCAGGCGCCACGGCGGAAGGTCCCGGAGGTCCCCCCCCCAGTCCTTCACGGTCACGCTGGCCATCCAGGACGCCAGCGGGCCAGAGCAGGAGGCCCCGCTGGGCGAGGGGTGGCGAAGAGAGAGGGTCTGGGAGCCCCTGAAATATTTCAGACAAATTCACTGTGAAGGAAGCCGCTCTCCACGAGACAGTGCAGGCGGGACCTCTGCCACCTTCCGTGAGCCACCTCGCCTCAAACGAGAGGGCTGGGGGCCCCTGAGGTGCCCCAACGTTAAGACTCTGATTGAAAGTCCCCTCCAACATCGTCCCAAGCCCCGGCTTCCATTTTCAGATGAAACCAAACACGTACCCACCGCGCTTCCTCAGAAGCAGCCAGCCCCGCGTCAGGCGGTCTGAGTGTGCTCCCTCCTCCAGGGGACAGGGCCGCCCAGGGTTCCAGCTCCGGGCGTGTCGGGGTTCCCTCGGGCTCCCCGTCTGCTGGGCCTGTGGCCTTGGGCAAGTCTCTGGGCCTCCGTTTCCCCAACCGTAAAGCAGGGGCGGCTCCGTGGCTCTGGCCTCCCTGGCTGCCCGTGGGGGCGCAGTGGAGCTAGGCGCACACAGGGCTTTGCAGGGTGGATGCACACGAGAGCTCGTTATAATCTGCGTGCATACTTCTCCCCACCCCGCCCCCGCCACCCCAGGCTGCGGGCCTCCCAGAGACGCTGGCGGCAATCTCCAGTGTATCGAGTCCCACAGTCACCCCCGTGGAGCCTGCAGCGCGGCGCCCGGCTGCTGGCACCGTTAGCGCCCAGGGGGACCTGAGGCTTTGCCTTCCCTCTCCAACGAGAGCACAGGCTGGGCCTGCAGGCCCCGAAGACACGCGCCCCCACCTGGCGCCACCACTTCCTGGCCCCATATCACCTCGCAGGGCACAGACAGGCGCGGGAGGTTCCACGGGCCCCCACAAATGTCGCCCTGAGCTGCTTCTCCGCCTCCAGCTCCAGGTCTGGGAGTTGGGCACCTAAGTCAACCCTGGACCTTTCGTGTGAACTGACAATGACCGTCCACGTGAAATGAAAACAACAACAAAAACAGCGATGAGTGAGGAGCCAAGAACCTCTGAGATGGCATACAGTTTGAATATTATTATCCAGAATGGTCACTGGGAAGATTCTTTTTAACTTAACAGCTTCAGTATTGAGTGTTTCAAAATAAGCGTGAATCATTTATTTACTCACCTTTTTAAAATGTGCTAAAATTAGTTTTACTAAATTTAATTACAGCCCTGACTGGCGTGGCTCAGTGGATTGAGCACCGGCCTGTGAACCAAAGAGTCACGGGTTTGATTCCCAGTCGGGGCACGTGCCCGGGTTGCAGGCCAGGTTCCCCGGTGAGAGTACGTGAGTGGCAACCACACATTGATGGTTCTCTCCCTCTCTTTCTCCCTTCCTTCCCCTCTGTCTAAAAACATAAACAAATAAAATCTTTATTTTTAAAAAATATTTTAAAAAAGATTTTATTTATTTTTAGAGAGAAGGGAAGGGAGGGAGAAAGAAAGCGAGAGAAACATCAATGTGTGGTTGCTTCTCACGCACCCCCTACGGGGGACCTAGCCTGCCACCCGGGCATGTGTCTTGACTGGGAATAAAATCTTTTAAAAAAGTAAATAAAATAAAATAAAATAAAATCAACCACGAAGGTAAAGCAGGGATGCAGAGCCATGGACAGAGAGGTGTAAACTCGCACAAGCGTGCACAGTGAAGAGGCGCTCTCTCCCACTCTGGCTGCGTCTTCCCCCGGAAGCGTCTGTCCTTCTGAGGCTAACAGACGCTGCTGACTCACGGCTCGTGGGGAGCGGCGCGACGTGGCGGAATGGCTTCCATTTTCTACACGAGGCCTCTGATGTTTTAAAAAAATAATAATGTGCCACTCCCATACTACTTTTATATAAAATAGTAATAATAATAAAGAGGAAAAAAAATCCGTCCAGAAGAAGCTACTGGAATTGAGAAGGACGCGGCGAGAAGCCCACCCAGAAAGACACCCTCCCCGACACTGAGGCTGGGCGCGGAATCCCCCTCGACCCTTCCGAGCCCTGGGAAGCCAGCGGCAGCCCCTGGCCGACCTCTGCTCTCTGCCTGCCCCCAGCCACCCCTCGCGCAATGACCCGGAGATCGAGACCAGGAGACCAGAGGAGAGCCGGCAGCCTCCTCCCTAAGGTCCTGGTATTACTGTCCAGAGGCCCCAGCTTCCCGCCAGCCAGCCACCCAGGAGCCAAGGACAGCCGCGGTCCCCAGCAGGCCCCCTTGTGCCCCCACTGGCGCTGTTTCTTTATGGCCGACACGCCAGTCTGGCCCCGGCCGGGGCTCTCCACTGGGGCTCAGAGAACCAGAATCCGCTGCTGGTTCGCTTGTCTGGGAGCAGCGGTGGGCCCAGGACATGCCATAAACCCGGCAATTCCCAGAGCAGCTGAGCCACACACCCTGAAATCCACCTCCCCCAGACCGGGGTGGGGCGCAGGGTCCGAGTCTTTCCTTGACAGAGTGCACGGTCTCTCGCATCATGCTTCCTGGCCTCCCCTGCCGGCCCACGAGGTGGGTGTGTGCCGCCCCATCTCCATTTCTGAATCTGTATTATAAATTGAAATGACAGGGACTGGGGTTTGTTTTCCTAATACAGATTCATGCCACGCTATCGAACATGTCCCCAGGAGGCGCGGCGGCCCACCCCTTCCCCGGGAGGCACAGAAGCCCCAGCCCAGAAGGATGTCAGTGTCATCTGGATGAATATCAATTTCCACTGCGCCGCAGATGTCCCGACACACCAATTAATAGAGTTCCAGCAAATAGCTATTGGCCAGGGAGGCCCCACGGCACGGCGACCACAGGCTCTGCTCTGGGGCCAGGCAGGCTCGGGTTCAGATCGCAGCTCCGTCACCTCCCGCAGCCTCCCTGAACTGCGGCTTCGTCTTGGTCGTTAAGATGGGGGGGAGGCGGGTGACGGGGGGGCGCCTCACAGGGCTGAGAGGGTTCTGTTTCCGGAAAGCCGCTAAGCCTTAGCCGGCTGCCGGCCCGTGGCGAGTGCTCTCACGGAGGGTGGTGTCGCTAATGTCACTTAGGAATAATCAGAGTGCCCGGACTGCGCCCCGCCGTGAGCACGGTGAAGGAAAATAGTGCGTGTCCTCCCACGGCCAACAGAAGGAGAGATGGGGCTATGGGGCTCCGGGGGTGGGGGGGGGCACACTACAACTCAGCTGTCTAAAATAAAAAGGAAAATAGCAAAAAGAAAAGTCCACATTTCCGAAACAGCAATTTGCAAAACAAAACAAAACAAACAAAACAAAAAAACTAGGGAGGGAAAGACTGGGGATTTTCCTCCCCGTTCCCAAACCTTCCCAACTTCTCCCTACGTCCTCTGGGCCGAGAGTTGGAGGCAAAAGGCCAGGCTCCCTGGGGGAGCGGGTTTTGTTTTCCTGGGAGAACTGGGTCCATCTGTCCCCCTTCAACCCAGCCCCTCTCCACATCTAACTCCCACGTGCTAGGGGCTGGGAAGTTTCTAGAAGCGTCATCGTAGGCAACGGGGGTGGCAGTAAATTCTTGCAGGTTGAAATGAGCAAGATGGGGTGCCCAGGGGCAGCATGGCAGTGGACACAGCCAGACGCAGAGCCGGCCTGGGGCTCTCCACGGACTGGCTGGCCTCTGTCTCCGTGTATTCTGCTTACGGAGTAAAAATCTTCCTTCCCGTTCTTTGGGGGGGGGGGCAAATAATGGGTTACTGTTAAGAAATATAAATAGTTGTGAGTGACAGAGAGATGAGGACGCAGGGGCCCTGTCCTCGGCGGACTGCCGCAGCGGCAGACAACCACCAGCTGACCCAGCGGCGGCGGCGGCGGCGGCGGCGGCTGGGGCGTGGCGGCGCGCGGAGGTTTCTTCTGGGCCGGCCTCCGAGGGCCGCCTGCGCGCCGGCCTCCCCGCCCTGCTGCGTGGCAGTCACGCGCGCCCGGGACACACTCACTGTGGTGAGCGGGATCTGACGTGGCAACACAACCCGAGAAAACCGCCACCACAGAAAAGCGTGCCCAGCTTCACGCATGAAGAATGGAATGGGCGGCATGATGTGTTTCCTCGCCCCTCCCTGCAACAGCCGGTCTTCCCGGACTGGCGAACGCTGCGGAGGACGCGCATTTCAAGGCCAGCAGGTGCCCTCTGTCCGCCGGTATCGTCTATGATGCCATTCCCCCTCCATCTCCTTTTATCAACCTAAATTCCCGACTGAACGTGGATGACTTTTGAAAAATTTTATAAATGCAGGTTCCTCCTGAAAGATACTCTTCAGCTCCCTCGCCCCCGGCTCTGAATTCCTGTCTGAACCTCTGCTGATTTTTCCCCGGCTGCATTCAGCTCTCCGCCAGCAGGACCGCAGCCAGAGCACGAGGCAACAAGACTCAGCGCCTGCCACCGCACGCACCTGCCCAGGCCAGGAGCCCTTCTGCCACAATCGGGCCGGCATGCCTGGTCTGTCTCCCCCGTGCGTGTGCGTGTGCGTGTGTCTGCGTGGGAGGGACGGCGTGAGTGTGCATCCCCTGCTCATCGGTGTCTGGATGGCTGGGTAGCAGTGCACACACGGGAGCCAGTGTGTGAGGGGGGAAGAGGGGGAGGGTCTGGGAGAATGCTCTCCATTAGGAGTGTGGCTGGGCCACACCCGAGGCCGATTCTAGGATGTCTGGGTGGGGAGCCCTGGCTCCCACAGGCTGTTAGCCCCACTGGGTGGTCACAGGAGCCACCTCTGTCCCAGGCCACCGTCGGTACTCCCATGCCACTGCCTCATGCTGCACCCCCTCCCTCCCCGAACACCACTCCAAGATGCTCACCTTTCCTTACTCTCGACTCCCTGTTCCTCCCGGCGCCCCCCCCACCCCGCCCCCACACCCACTCCCTGCAGCTGGGACCCACCCCGGCCACCCAGACAAACACCAGTCTGGGGTCAGCCCTAGGAGATTCTCTGGGGCCTGGTCAGTCCCGGACAAGCCGACCTCAACTGCAGAGGCTGTTGGCCCCGGTGCCCCTCGGGCCTCGGAAGGACTGGGGCTCTGAGTCCCAGGGACAGAATGGAGTGCGGACGGACAAGAAGTCATTGCCGGACTCTGGAGAGGCTCCTTCAGACCACTCAAAAATCTCACCCGAGCGCAGCCCCACCTAGAGGGGCGCTGGGCCTCTGCCCACGAGCAGGCAGAGGCATGAGGTCAGGGCAGGTGTGGGGGAAACAGCCCCCCCACCCCACCCCACACAGCACTCGCTCACAACCTGCCACCGAGAGTGAGGGGAGGGGGTGGGCGGCTCACCCCGTCCTGGGCCAGATGCTGAGCAAGTTTCCTGCCAAGGGACACTGTTCAGGGAAGGGCTCGACAGGGTGGCCCTCCTCGGCTGCCACCAGTCAGCCGGCCAGCCGCTCCTCCCCAGACACTGGGAGCTCGTCTGCCTCCGCCCAAGCGTCTCTGTCTCCCACCTCCCGGAACCTCCTCAGGCCTGGGTCCGGCTTCGCTCCCCTGCACGGACCATGGGACGTGGCCTTGATCTGCCTGCACCCTCTCCCTCTCCTCTGAGGAGCTCCCCCAGCACAGGCATCAGCATTTGCATGGTCCCCGATGCCCTGTCAGAGCTCCTGAGGCTGCCCGCCACCAGCCGAGATCCGGGGTCCATGTCTGTAAACAGGAGCGACCGCAGAGCCCTCCCTTGCAGAGTAAATACTCGGGGGTTAAATGGGGTAATGTGTGCACGGCATCCAGGAGAAGCCTGGTGTCCAGAGAGGTCGGTATGTGACCGTCAGACTGGAGTCACGCCCCACATGCCATCGGTGCCCGACGCTTGCCGAACGAGGGACCACGCACAGCGGAGACGGAGCAGGCGCAACGCCCCACTCCCACCCGAAGGCTTTCCCTGGGCTGCCTTCCCAGGTCTTGCTCTCTGTATCCCTGCGGCTTCTGAGCCCCAGGACACCCTCGGCAGATACCCAGGGACCTCACTGTGGCAGTGCACAGGAGTCGCAATGGCATCGTGACAGAAGGTGCGTCCTTTCTGACCGGCAGCAGACAGCTTGCCTGGCGGTCAGGCTCCCGAAGACCGTGATGCCCGGGCCTCAGCCCTACGTACGGCCTGGGCAGCCGGCGGGGCCTGTGCCAAGGCCCCTCCATCCACCGCAGCCCTTGGACACGGCTGCCCTGCACCGCGCCGCCCTGCACCGCGCCGCCCCCCCCCCTGCCCCGCTGCTACCTCCTGCCCCCGCAGCACACACACTCACCTCGATGGCCTTGTAGAAGATGCTGGTGCCGATCTGGACGACCTCCAGGTTCTGCTCCTGCTCGTTACGTGCGCACTTGATGTAGGTCATCCAGCTTCGGTGGTCCTCCTGGCTGGCATCGATAAAGTAGCGCACTGTGCCGTCCTCGTTGAACACCTGGGCACAGGTGAATCGGAGCTGTGTCAGGTGTGCCGCCTGGGCCCTGCCCCAGGCCCCCATGCCAGGAGCACCCACACACTCTCTCTCCACCCTCACATTGGCGCCTGGAAGTGGGCGCGGCTCTGATCATCTCGGTCTTCCAGCCGAGGACAGAGGCCCCAGTGGTGCCGGGACCTGCCCGAGGCCAGCCGGCCAGAAGCGGCCAGTAGGGGGTCAGCCTCTAGGGTCCCACAGGCTCCCTCCTGCTGCCACGTCTCCCCTCGCCCAGGGGAAAGGGGCCTCCAAGGGGTCGCAGATGGGACACGGCACCACCCAGCCAGCTCTCGGGGGTGCACAGGTGCTCCCCCTGGCTGTGGGGAGCACAGGCCAGAACCGGAACTGGAACCAGGACACAGAGGGTGCACGGGGCCTGGAGAGGTAAAGCTGGCTCCCTGGGCACCCGGCCGAGCCCGAGCCCCTTTGTGGGAGCTTCCAAGGACATCCAAGGGTCAAGCTGGACCCCAATTTCCGAACACAGTCACCAGGAGAGGAAGCAGCCACTGGCTTGGCCTCCAGGGGAGGGAGGAGGTGGGGTCAGGTGCAGTATTTGCTTCTTGGGCCCCTGGCGGGGCGGGGTCTGCGGGTGGGAGCTGGGCTGAGGTGCCTTCCAAGGAGAGGGGGGATGAGAGCGGGGAGCTGGGCCCTCGCTGGGCCCTGCGGGGTAGAAGCCCCAAGAGGAGGAAGTGCCTTGGGGGCAGCTTTGTCCTCAGGGTGGCCCTCCCTGGCATCGGGGGCACTGTTTTGGGGGGAGGAGGACCAGAAGGCCTGGGAAGAAGTCTCTCTGAGTTTCAGTTTCCTTTTGGAAAACGGGGTTGGTAACTGCTGGGGTCAGGGAGCTATTCCTGCAGAAGGCGGGCAGGCCCCGGCTCAGAGCTGACTCAGCGCAGGGGCCGGGAAGACCTTTGCCAGCGCCATGATTCTGCCTGGGGGGGGAGAGGCGCACTCCTCCTGCATTCTGCGTTCCAGCCACCGCCCCCCACCCCCCTGCTCGGCCGGGGCTGGCTCGGGGGACTTCTCTTGCTGCTTGGGGGTGAGGGGAAAATGCAGGTGCCTGGGAAGTGGGTCCAGCTCTCTCTCCGTGGGACTGCGGGCAAGAGACCTGGTCTTCCCGGGTCTCGGTGCCCTCCTCCGGGAAGTGGGCCAGCGACCGTCAGGCTCCCTAGACTTGGCCAGAGGAAAGAGGGTCCTGTTTTTCTGAATGAACCTGCAGGGACCCAGCCGCACGCGAGAGCGCGGAAGCAGCCGCAGCGGCGGGAGGTCCGGCCCGCCCGCCTGCCCGCCCGCCCGGGCCCTCTCCCCGGCCCGCGCCTACCTCCCACATGAGGTTGTTGTTTTTGCAAATGTCCACGTGCTCCGGGGCGATGACCCTGCCCGTGAAGGGGCCCATCTCGGCGCCCGCCTTGATCCACGTCTTGGAGAAGATGCCGAGGCCCTCGCCGGGGATGGAACTCTGCGCGATGATCACCTCCGCCGGCAGCACCAGGCTGGACAGCTTCTGCACCTCTGCGGGCGCGGGGGCGGGGGCACCGGGGGGTCAGAGCCCGAGGGCCCCGCCCGCCGTGCTGCCCACGGACCAACCCCCGATCCGCCCGGGTGACTCCGGTATGTCTGTGCGGGGGGGGGGCGGGCGGGGGCTGGGGACTGTTTGCCACCCAGGAACCCTCCGTGTCCTTCAAGGCGTTGCTTTAGGACTTATTTCTAGGAGACTTTTTTTCTTTTTTGTCTCCACGAATTCTCAGAGCACCCACAACTTCCTCTACCCCCCACCCGGGAAAAGTTTAAGAACGACTGGAACGACCGCAGGGAGTGGTTTTACAGACGGGTAAACTCAGACCAGCTCCCCGAGGAGGCGATGACCAAGCAGAGACTCTGCCCAGTTCCGTTTTGGGTTCTTCTGCCGGTCACGCCCATCACGCCGGTCACTCGGACGGCGCTCGCCGCGCGCCTCGGGGGGGCCCCCTGGGCGCGGCCGGGCGCTCTGACTTCCTCCGGGGCGCGCTCCCGGGCCGAGCAGGCGGCACTGGGTGCAGACTTCGGACTCCCAGTCCACCGGGGGCTCAAAAGGCCCTGCGCTCTCTGTGTGACTCAGGCGCGCCTGTGCCCCTCTGTGCGCCCAGGGCCCGGGAAGGCAGGAAGGGCGGCTCCGGGGCTCTCGGACCCAGGCCGGCCCTGCAGCCGCCTCTCGGGGCTTGGAGGAGCTGGGGTTGGGGGGCAGCCCGCAGTCCCCGGGGGTCCCCCTGCCGGGCCTGACGATCGGTGTGGGAGCGGCCAGACGCGCAGGGGCCGCCTCCATGTCTTACAAGGTTCCCCTCTAAGCTACCTGGGAAAATACCCACCGAGCCGGCCGGCTGAAAGAGGGGGTTAAACGGTGTCCATTGCAGCGCAGCCGGCAATTTGCCACGCTGTTAAAGTGATTGCATTCATTCGGCTCCATTCGAAAGAAATTGCTAATTCTAAATTCATTAGCCCTGGAAGAATGCTGTAGCAGTAAATTGTAGCTCAATGCGGAGGGGACTTGTTTAAAAGGGGCCGAGGAATCCCCCTTACAAAAAGGAGGGATTAGATGGTTGACATGGCGTGAATGGAAGTGGGATTAGTCCGCACGGTGAGTTAAGAGAGGAACAGAAATCGTCCAGGGGGAAGAGAGGGCGACGCGCAGAGATGCCAGCGCCGGGGAAAGATATTGTTTGCGGGTTGATGAATGAGGAGTAAGAACTTGAGACATCTTAAAGAAAAGAAACTTTTCTCGCTCTCTTTTCTCGCCCTCACTCTCTCCGCGGCTTTCTCTCCCCCCGCGGCCGCCCGCCCGCCCGCCCGCCCTCCGCCCCCTCCCCAGCCCCCGCTGCCTTTTAAAGTTCTTGGTTTAAGTGGGAACTTTCGCAGGTCAAGCCCAAGTTAACTAAATGAATTTAAAACCCCTTCTTTTTGAGTCAACTGCTATTACACGCCTAGTAAGGCTTTAAACGCCAGGAACCCGCCGGCTCAAAGGGGAGAGGGGCGGGCGGGGGAGCGCTGGGCCGCGGGGCCCGCAGCGCCGGCGCCGCGATCCTTCTGCGAGCCGCGCGGGGTGGCGAGCTGTCCCCCGCCCCGCCCGGGCTTGGCTGCTCGCGCCCCGGCTTGGCTTGCGGGAACCAGAGGCGCACGGAGCGTCTGGAACTCCCGGGTTGGCGCGGGGGGCAGCTTCGAAACCCGGGGTCCCCGCCGCAGCCCGCGCGCAGACAGGCGGGGAATCCGGGGCGGGCCGGAGGAGGGGACGCTGCCGGCCCCGACGGCGCGACTCACCGCCGGAGAAGGACTGCGCCAGGACCTCGGCGGTGAAGGCGGTCTTGGGGCTGGCGTGGTGGCTCTTGTCCTCGAAGAGCTGCTCGCCCAGCACGTTGCGCCAGCGGCCGTAGAGGAAGCTGTGCAGGATGTCGGAGGTGATGACCTCAGCCAGCGCCAGCCCCGGCGCCTTCAGCCCGGTCTTGAGCACCAGGGCCTCAGCCGGGAGCACTGAGCCCATCATGGGCGGCCCGGGACTTGCCGGCGCCGGGGGACGGCCGGCCGGGCAGACTCGGGGATGTGTCGGGCGAGAGGCGAGCGGAGGAGCGGGAGGAGAGGGCTGCGAGGCTGGCGGAGCCGGGGGAGGCGCGGGGGCAGGATGAGGACGCGGGAGGGCGGCGAGGGGATGGATGGCGGGGAGGGAAACGAGCGAGGGGGAGCAAGGCCGAGAGGAAGAGAGGTGGGGAAGGCGGCGGGGACGGCAGCGGAGGCCCGGAGGGCAGCGGAGACGCGGGCGGAGGCGGGTGCGGGTGCGGGTGCGGGGGGTGCGGGGCGGGAGGCTGCCGAGAAACGGCGGCGGCGAGGAGCTCTCGGGCGCGCTCTGGCCGCTCACACTCCCGGCCCGGACGGTCTTCGCCTTGGCAAAATCTCAGCGCCTTTATAGGAGCCTCGGTGACCCTCCTAATTGGTTATTAATGACGCCCTGACGTCGGAGGACAGACTTGTACCCGGCCGAGCTCAAGGCGCCTTAGCCACCGCAGCTCCCCCATTCGCCCCGCCCGCCCCTCCCCGGCCCTTCCTCCCTCCTCCTCTTCCTCCTCCTCTCCCCTTGGGAAGCGCGGAGCGGGGAGGGAGGCTCAGCCCGCCGCCCGGAAAGGAGGGGACGGCGCTGAGGAGGGGGCTCGGCGAGGCTCGCTCGGACCCCAGGGACTGGACTGCGCAGGAGGAGACGCTGGCCGCGGGCCCCGCAGGCCGCGCGCTCACCCACGGTCCCAGGCCAGATCTGCGCTGGTCACCCCTGCCCGGACGGGTTCCAAGCTCCTGGGCCGGACCCCGGGCTCTCCCGGACTCCAGCCCCGGGCTGTGTAGTCGGCCCGGACCCCGCAGACCCCGCAGACCCCCCGCGGGCGGTGCCGAACTGAGCTGCGCTGCGCACACGGCGCTTCGCTTCAAACGGGCTGCTCCGGCCACGCCGCTCGCGGCTCGCAGCCGCGTGTGAGACCGTCCCCGGGCGAGCGGCGCTGCGCGGCGGGGCTGCGGCCGCCGTCGGGCCCGGGCCGGCACTCGCAGGGCTTCGTGGGCGATGGGCTCCTGGCCCTGGGGGGCTGGATCGGGGTCGGGAAGGGCGGGCCGGAATCCGCACTAGTCGCGGGTTGCTCGGAAAGGCTTTCCTGCCCGGTACAGGGGAGGCGGAGAGAGGTCCTCGGACTGTTCGAAGTGGGAGCAGCCGGACCCGAAAGCGCCGCCCTCCGACATTGCAGGCGGTCCGGGCCTGGCCTCGGTGGGCGCTGCGCTCCGGCCTTGGGGCTCCCGGCTCCTCCGTTCGTGTGCTACCTGGAGAAACCCGTTGCATCCCCGCGCTTCTTCCTTCTCGCCTCCTGCCTCTTTTTTTTCCTCCGACCTCCACCTTCTTCCCTTCCCTCCCCACCTCCCCATTCCTCCACCGCCCCCCTCCCGCCAGCAGACTTTCTGCCGGGAGGCTCCAAGGCACCGGCCCGCCGGCGCGGTCTGTCTCCCGGGCTCTCTCCGGAGGCAGGGAGCTGCTGAGCCCACAGCCAGAGCGGGAAGGCCAGGGCCTCCCCCGGGCCTTGCTGCCTCGCGGACTTAGTCTCGGGTGCCCAGCTCCAGCCCCAGACTAGGGAGGGGGGCACAGGACGCCTCCCCCGCCTGCCCGGCTCCTCAGCCAGTTTCCCCACCTCTGTTATTTCAGATTCCGATAACAACGGAACCGGGTCCGCTGGAGGAAGCCGACTGCCCGGGTCTTCTCCGCAGGGTGGAGGCTTGGGTGAGGGGGGTGGGGGGACAGGGGACCCGACCCTCCCACGAGGAGTTATTGTCTTCAGGTTCCTGGTGAGGAGCTCCCTCCCCCGTGGGGATCCGGCCTTTGCCAAGCCAGTCTCACACCTGGCAGCCCTGGACCCGGGTCTCTGCGTGCTGGGGGTCTGACCAGTAACCTCCGACATCCCCGGGTCCCCATCCAGGCGCAAACTAAGGACCGGGGCAACCGCCGGCTTTCGGACCGCGCGCCGGCCGCCGGGGCCGCCTCGAGGCCGGTGCCTGGGGAGGCTGCACCGGGCGGAAGGAGCGACCTTCGGGCCTGCGCCAGCAGAGGGCAGCGCTGCGGAGGAGAGCGCGCAGCCCGCGGGTTAGGGTTCCTTCCAGACGCCTCCAGCGAGTCACACCGGCTCTGGCTAGAGCCGAGGGGGCGGACAGAGTCCGGGCACGAAAGCTCCGGGCACCGGCGCCGGGGACGTGGCTTCTGCGAAGACTGGGCGGAGGAGGAAATGCGCCCGGGGCGGAGGAGACTGCATCACCCAGCGCTGCCAGGGGCCCCGAGCTCAGTTCCCCAGCGCCGCGGCCAACCTCGGCGCGGCTGGGAGGCCGAGGGGGACGAGGGCTGCTGTGCACCTTGGGGAGGGCCCTTCTCCTCCCTGGGCGACAGTGTCCCTGTCCACGCCGCTTGTCTGTCTTTGGGTCAGGCGACTTCCCTCCGAAAGCCCGGGGGACTTTGCCTATCCCCGGACCACACCCCGCTAAGCAAAGCACTCCGACGCGCGACCGTTGGGTCCTGACCCCAGCGAGGGGCCAGAAGGTAAAGGGACCGAGGGCTCTGACCGCGAAGGAGCCCGATTCCTTTCCCGCAGACCCGCAGACCCAGGGAGCGGCGCGGGGCGGGGGCGGGGGGGGTGGTTAACGCAAAGCCGGAACGGCCTCCGCCCAACTCGCGCGCCCTCTGGCCTGGCGCGGCTGCACTGTGACCCCAAATTCGGTCTAGCCGTAGACCCGCCCGGACCGCGCCCCAGGGGAGGCGCCCCAGTCTTGGGGGGCCATTGAAATTCGGGAGCAAGAGCCCTGCGATTTCATCGCGCCTCGCTCAGACCGCGAGGGAGAGCACCGCACGTTGGCGGGTTTCTCCGCGGGTGAGCCTCGTCGCCTTCTGCCCGACGCGGGCCCGGCCCGAGCTCCCCGGCGCCGCCCAGCCCCCCACCCCACCCCGCCCCGCCCCGCTCCTGCAGGCCGCCGCTCGGCGATCTCGTTAATATTCATGGGCGTTAATAGAGAGGCCCCCAGTATATCGGCCCATTGTGGGCGGCTCGTAGGGCTTGAATAGGCCCCGGCCCCCTTTCTTCGGCGCGGCTTCCCGAGGGGCCGGGCCGGGAGTGAATGGCCCTGCTCCCGCCCCGCGTCCCCACCCCCTTGCAGGGAGAACATCTTTATCCCCGCCGCCGCCGCCGCCGCCCGGGCCCCCGTTCACGCGGCCCCGGCTCCGGGCGGAACGAATCATTCCGCCGTGGCTCTTCGGGGGTCATCCTCGTGGCCCGTCTCCCCTTGTCGCCGGGCCCACGGCAGTGGAGAGAGGGAGGCTGAGACCGGTCCACAGACCCACGGGCGGGGGTCTGCGGTGGGGAGCGCGGTGGGGGAGGGGAGCAGGGCCGGACGCGCCAGATTAAGAGGAACTCGGGGCCCCGCGGCCACCCGCCCTGCGGTTTCTACTTGTTGCCCGGCCCTGGGAGGGGGGGGGGGCGGGCGCGGCGAGCACCAGGCCGCGGCCCGGGCCCAGAGAGCCGTCCCACTTCCACTCGAGGCAACAGTGCGCGCCCCTTCGGGCAGGGGCCGCGCACCAGGAGCCCGGGGCCCCGAGTGAGGGGCTCCCCGGGCCCCCGCGGCCCGGCCCGCGGGACACTTTCGTTACTGCCGGTGCGCTCAGGTCTGGCGAGCGCGCTCCAGCGGGCGCGTCCGGAGCGCAAGCCCCGGCTCCCCGGCTCCCCGGGGGAGGGGGCTCGAGTCGGTCAGGCGCGGCCGAGGCGCACAGGTCCCCGCTCCTCCCGCCCCGCCGGACCTCAGAGGCGCAGAAAAGAGCCCATTGTCCGCCGGGAAATACATTTTTGGGGGCCGAGTGAAAGCCCGTCTTTCTTTTGAACTTTAGAAGAAAGTCTCCTGCCCTCGCCCGCGGAGGGAGAGATTGGTCCCCGCTCCCGGGGGCCCCGCTCGCCGCCTCCTCCCGAAACATCTGCTGGGGACAACCCACCCCGGAGGGCAGATCGCGCTCACTCTAAGCCCCGCGAACTCATTAAAAAGATATTAGCGGCGGGGGCGGCTCCAGCGCAGGTATCGATCGGCTGGAGTGAGCCCGAGGAAGAAAAGGCGAGGAATGTGGATGCGCCGCGCCCCGACCCCTTACCCCGGCCCCCAGGCCCCTGCGCTGTCCCCGTGCCCTGTCGTCCGGCTGTTTCCGGGGGCTTCTCGGCCCCTCCTCTGACTCTCCGCTCTGCCTCCAGGCGCCCCCCTCCCCGCCTCTCCTCGCCCCCATGCCGGGCCCAGCCCTCTCTGGCCGCTTCCTCGTGCCACTTGCTCGCCGCCACGGTCCAGCTCTCCACCGCGGCGGCGCCTCTCCCTCCTCGCCCCCTTTCCCGCGCGCCCTCCCCTCTTCGCCAGCACTCTGCTCCCCACCCGGGTTTCCTCCGGCCCTCGAGGCTGCCCCCGCCCTGTCCTCTCTCTTGCTGCCCGGGTCCCACTGTTCCGGGCCTGCATTCCCGCCCCGGCCTAGGGGACTCTCTTTCTCGCGGGGGTCCTGCAATGCCTCCTCTCCCCTCTTTCTCGCAGGCCGGTTCTGGGCTCCAGGGCGCCCCCGCCGGCGCGCGCACGGGTTCGACGGCTGCCGTGCAGGGAGGGGCGGGGGTGTGGGCCGCTGAAACGGCTTCGAGAGACCTGACTCCGGGCGGCCCGCGCGGGGCTGCAGGCTGAGGGGCAGCGGCGGCACCGTGAATGGGGACAGCCGCCCTCCCTCAATCTAATTAGCCTCCGAAGTCCCGGGGAGACAAAGGCGCGCCCCGGGACGCCCGCGTCGGGCGCGGAGCCCGCCCTGTGGCCCGCGGGGGACTGGCACGCGAGCCTCTCCGGGAGCTGCGCCTCCCGGAACCGCCCCCCACCCCGTTGCCCGCGCCCCCAGGCTCCGCGAAGCCAGCGCCAAGTTCCCGGCAAATCAATGCGGCGGGACGGCGGGGAGAGACGCTGGGGGAAGCT